ATTAAAATGTTATAAATGTATAATTAATGTCATAATTGCAATAAAAACGTTCAATTTTGAGGGAATAAAATACGTTAATTTTTTCCCCATAGTAAGTAAAATGACAAGTATATTACGTGCATTTTTGTATTTTACAATGTAAATTACATGGTCTCAAAAAAATCCTTGTAATTTACCAACCTTAGTTGTACTACACATACACTCATTTTTGGTCACTTTTGATTGGCTTCTATTGTTTTGAGTTAACAAAAAATGTGAGATTTTGATGAAATTACCAAAAGTTTTGCAATCATTGATTTATATTACAGTAATTACAATTTTTAATAATGCAATGCAACTTAAAAATTGACAAAATAATTGAGTTTGTATTTAAAAATTATTGCCATATTTTATTGACATTCAAAATTAACCACTAATTAAGACTTTTTATTTAAATACAAAATGAAACTTTTATTGGTTTTTAAAACATTTTAATACTCATTTTGGAAATAATTTAATCTGCAGTCATATGTAATTTTTACACACTTTTACCATAGATTATAGCAATTCAATGATTTGATTACAATGTTTTAAAGAAATTTAAGATTTTTAACCACATTTGTAATTATAATTGTCTATAAGAATGTATGCATTAATTGCTTCACTTTTATTTTATAGGATTTGAATACAATTTTTGCGATTTATTAATAAAAGTCTCATTTATTTCGATTATTATAGTTTTATCAAAATAATAAAGAAATTAAATATTTTTTTATTAGTTTCAATTAATTTTCATTTAATTATAGTTATAGTAATTATATAATTAAACGTCATAGTTAAGATTATAATTAAGATTATAATAAATGGTGTTCGTATTAAAACACAATTATAAAAAGCATTAAATGTACACAAAAAATCTATATTTAGATTATTATAGTTTTATCAAAATACAGACTTTTTATATTAATGTTATTTTTATTAGTTTTAAATTTTAATATCAAATCAATGGTTTAAATTTGTTGCAAATTATTGGCACACAATTACTTATATTAATTATAGAATTAAAAGCCATAATTATAGTTATAGTAAATAATATCAAAAACACGAATACAGTTGTGATTAAAAGCAATGAATAAGACTTATTCATTGCTTTTCAATAAGAGATCAATTAAAATGGAAACATATTATAAAAAGCCTAAGAATTAACAAATTGTGACAATTAAAGTCTCATTTTGGAGTACTTATCCATTATAGCGATCGCTTCGATGTACTCTTTCTTCTTATTCATTAACTCAATCCTCAGCTCTTTGTCGGAATCTTCGCCAATGATTAAAAGTAAATTAAAACATATAGATATCATTAAGTGATGTATACGGCAGGGACTTTAGTACATTTTTAGTACAATTTTTAAAAATATAATAATAATTATCACAACTATTTTATAGATGTATAACATTAACTGAATAGAGGATTTTTATAACCCTTTGACTAATTCACTACTTTTATGAGTCTGAATATTAAATGACTCATCCAGTCTCTGCCTTAAAAGTGATGCACTGCTCATCGCTGGCATAGACTTTAGTTTAGAGAACTTTTCAATTATGTCAATGCCTTCAATATATTGTTGTTTCTGATTTTGTAATTCAATTCTTATGGCTTTGTTGGGATCATCGCCTATGATATCATCAATGGATGGGAACTCTTTACGAAGCTGTTCCAGAAGTTTAGTGCCAATGTATTTACACGTAGAGTCTATTAAGTCATATTGACATATTTTTGGCAATTGATCCCTATTTTTAAATCAATTGCAATAACAATAATAATTTCATTAAATAATGTCTTTAAATTAATGTAACTGTAAAACTTCTGTATATGACATACTTGAAATTCTTCTTAATTAAAACAATGTATGCATTGACTAATCTCTTCACTTCGTCCACTTTTGTTGCCATGTCTTTATCGCCAGCATTCGATGTCATGTCTATATCGCCAGCACTCGATGCGACGACAGCCACTAATTCACTGATGCCTTTAGGAATGGTCTGCTGAACCATATGTGCCGCCACTTTCAACGGGACGTCAGCGATGGACGCAATCTTTTCTTCGCTACTTTAGAGATCAATAATATTGTAATGTTAGTCAAAGAGATTTGCCATTAAAAACTGCTCATATGTGACGTTTACCCGATTTGTTTGACCAAATCATCATAATCACATTTACTCGGATAGCATTTCTCTGTTTCGACAAAACGCTCGACAAATTCCTTACATTTCTTATTAGATGTGTGAATGAATTCAATCGTTAGAAATCGGATTTTGTCCCTAAATGTTGGAAATTGTAGTTATTATATAAAATCATATAAAGTATATTTACATAATATATATTTAAATCATTTAAATCATATCATTTAAATATCACCTTATTTCTTCATATGTTTGCATTTCTTCTGTGCATTTGTTAATTGTCTCAATGATCTCATTGGTGACCAAATCTACACAATCGAGTGCTGGTTTCCGGAAGTTTTCTGCAATATTACAAAACAATTGAGTCATAAAATTTATGTATAAGAAAATAACTTGAATACCGATTTGCTTTATAACACATGAATTAAAGGCGGCGTCGGGTGTGAAATGACCGATACGTGAGCCAAAAGAGTTATGGATAGCAATTACGATCTCATCATTCAAACCATTTTGATCGCACATTATTTCGTCCACGTTTTGGGCAAACGTGTCGTTCATCACTTCTTTAATCTTTGATCCGCCGCTCAATTCAGTCACATTTACTAACCATACTTTTCCTCCCATTGAACTCTTAAACAACTCTAAAAACTGATAGTTGTTTTCAGACAAAAATACTTCTCTATTGTCCTCTGTTAACCGTTTCTTCATTTTCTCTAATTTATCGTTAGTTTCGCTCAGTTTTAAGTGCAGTTTGGACTTCAAAGCCCGCAATTTGCGGGAGATATGGTTTGACAGCTCCTGTTGTAGATATTCCTGAAGGTATTTAATTCCGCACCGTTTGGCCATTTCTGGCCCATAAGCCGGATGTTTGGCAAAGAACTTGCTTTCGTCGGTCAACGCTTTCGTAATGTCTTTATTTTCTTTGATATCTTTTTGGGATCGATTAACGACACCAATAAAGCATCGATTCAGTCGGGTATCGTATTTTCCATTTAGTATATCTCTGGCATCGGTTCCCTTATCCATGAGATCCAGTTTTGTGAGGACAGCAATAGTTCGGTCACCACTTGGATTAACGCTTTCGGCCAGTTTGAGGGCACCAGATGTGGCCAAATCTGCAAATTTAGTTATTTAGAAAATAATTACCATTATTATGGATAAATCCTAAATCACACAAACCTTGATTGGCTGCAGTGACGGCTAAAATCAGGCAATTATCTCCGCGAATGTATTTCAAAACCAATTTCTGAATCCTGTCCTCAATATCCTGGGGCTGACTCCCAACGGGCACTTTTGTCAGTCCCGGCAGATCTACAAGAGTTAGATCCAACACATCCGGCGAATAGATCTTCAGATTTATTGGTTTCGCTGACACTCCTGTGCTTTCCGTAACCTCTCTATCGGTTTCAGCCGTGATTTCATCGCGTATTTCTTTGAAACTCTCAAATCGTTTTCCCGACGAATGAAGGAATTCCCCGAACGCTAAGAAATTATAAATTAATTAATAATAAAAAGCATTTTTAAAAACATTTTCTTACTTATTGTGCTGTTTTTGTCGGATATCAATTTCAGCACAAGTGGTCTTCGGGTGACAATACCTGTCCCTCGCGGCAGGAATTCGTGGCCAACAAAACTCTCCAAAACACTGGATTTACCCGAAGACTGTTCACCGATAACAACGATTTGTGGCAAATCAAAGGCCAGATTGTCTTTGAGTTTTTCTTGTAATTCATTCATTACTCGAATAAAATTTGGATCAAATTTAGCCATTTTTCAATACTTTTATCGATACGATTAAAGTTATTATAAGACAATTAATAGTCTATTAAAAATTAAATTAAAATTAACATAATTTGCTGTGAAATAAATTGTAATATTTGTTAGCAAAGCATTTGCTTTAAATAAGTGGTAAAAAAGAAATGGTTTGATAAAAATGTTTAGCAAATTAATGCTTTAAGATAAAGTATTTCACTAATTCTACGAAGTACATCCGGTAACTGATTAGATATTACTATTATTACCGGTAGTATTATTCATTAGACATTACAAAACTGATAAAACATTATTTGCAAAAGGTAACTAATGCTATTGACAATAGCCTATTGTACTGTTGCAGTACTTCCAGTAAAAAAATTTTAAGTATTTAACTTTTACCAAAACATTTATTGGTTTGCAAAACAATTTAACATTCATTTTGGAAATGATTTAAATTTAAATCAAATATAATTTGCAATTATTTTATTATAAAAATTACATAACTTTTTACTCAATTTTAACCATAAATTATATTAATTTAATGGTTTGATTACAATGTTTGTTAAGAAATTATTTTCACATTGATTTTAATCGAAATTTGTAATTTAAAAATTATAAAAAACACAATAAATATAATTATTTGAAAGACAATTAAGAATAATATTCATAACATAATTAAAGATTATAAATAATTATAATGTATTTTAAATAAACCCGATTTATAATTAGTGCAAAATCAGCGAAATTAAGTCAACATTTAAATCAAATGACAATTTTACTCAATTAAAAGATTAATTTTTGAGTATTTATCCAATATATCGATGCCATCCATGTATTGCTGTTTGCGAGTCATTAACTCAAACCTCTTGTATTTATTGGGATCATCACCGATGATGTCAACATAATTTACTACCAAATCATAAAACCAAGTGATTTCAAGACAAACTTAATGTGTTTCTTAAGTACAGTGATGTATGCGTTGATTAATCTCTTCACTTCCTCCACCTGTACCACCATATAGTCGGGATAAGCCATGTCTTCATTGGGGTCGTTGAGACTCAATTGGGAACCACTCATGAGGAATGGCATCTGATCCAAATCGTTGCGTTGAGCCCTAACCTGAAACAAATATCGCTTAACCCCCGCCTCTTCTAACCATTGTCTCCATTTCAACGCCTCTTCGCTCGAGTGAAACACTAACTCAAACTCGTTGTTAATTCTGTTATTAATTAAAAATTAAATCACAAATAAATTAGTATTAAAATAAAAATTTTAATTTTCAATACCTCTTGGGCAAAATTAAGGCAACAATACAGTCATTGCCTATTTTAGCGTTAAATTGAGCGCCTTTTAAATCAATTGATCCCATTTTGTCGGTTTGGGACTCGTTTTTAAACCAGAAAAGAGTGGTTCCTTTCAAGACAAACCAGTGGTCGTTATTATTGTAGTCAATCCAACCGCACTTTGAATTCTGGTCAACCATTTCGGCCGACACTTTCAATTGGGCGTCAGCTATGGGTTTGGATTTCACGTCACTTAACAGAGATATACAACATATCAATGAATGGCAAAACTATTGTAAAAACAAATTATATGTCCATTAAATACCCAATTAGTTTCAGAAAGTCTTCGTTGATTGTATTCACAAAGCATTTCTCAGTATCGATAAAATGATTGACAAATGATTTACATTTCTTATTACACTCGCGAATGAAGTCAAGCGTCAAACGGGAAAATATTTGCCTAAATTATCGCATATATAAAATCAATCATTTGTTTAAATTGTTTAATCAATAATTTGTTTTAAAACTCACTTCAAGTTAGGAAAACAGTGAATATCATCGATACATGTATTGACAGTTTTAACCATCTCTTCGGTGACCCAATCGACGCAAACGATTGATGGCTTTCTGAATAGCTCTGGAAAAAACAATTAGTTATTTTAAACTCAATACTAGTTTAACAGCCATTAAAACAAATACCCATTTGCGAGACAACACAGGCTGTGAAGGCGTCGTCGGGTATGAAAATACCCAAATGGGAGCCGAAGGCGTTTTGGATGGCGATCGCGATCTCGCGGCCCATACTGTCGTCATCGGTGTCCAAATCATCGACTTCTTTGGCAAACGTGTCGCACATCAAGACATTGATTCGGGCGCCACATGTCAGCTGTTTTACATTCACTTCATTACCATTGCCTCCCATTGAGCTCCTGAAGCAGTTCCGAAACGTGTCTATAGTTTTAGCCAAAAGTCTCTCTTTATCTAAGCTCTCGACCGGGAACTCAATTTTGGACAATTCTTCATTGGTTTTCATCAGATTTGACTCCATTTTGGACTTCAATGGCACCAATCGTTTGCCGATATGACTCGACAGCTGTTTCTGGAGAAACTTTTGGAGGTATTTAATACCCGCTGTTTTGGCCAACTCTGGCCCATAGGACGGGTTATCTTCGAAGAATCGCTGTTCGGCCGCCAAAGCCTTCTTCATGTCTTTGTTGGCTTCGATGTCTTTCTGCGATCGCAACACAACGCCAACGAACCCTCGTTTCAATTGGATCTTATGATTACCCGTCAAAATATCTCTGGCATCGGTTCCCTCATCCATAAGATCCAGTTTTGTGAGCACTCCGATAGTGCGATCGCCTTCGGGATCCACTTTACCGGCGAGTTTTAAAGCATCAGAAGTGGCCAAATCTGCACAAGTATTATAATAATCATAACATTTACGTAACAATCAATGAATGGATGGATACCCTGATTGGCTGCAGTGACCGCTAATATCAGACAATTATCTCCGCGAATGTATTTCAATATCATTCTCTCAATCCTGTCCTCAATATCTTTGGGTTGGTTCCCAACGGCCACTCTTGTCATTCCCGGCAGATCTACAAGAGTTAGATCCAACACTTTCGAGGAATATATCTTCAGAGTGATTGGATTCGATGATATTCCTGCGCTTTCGGGCACTTCTCTGTTGGTTTCGGCAGTGATTTCATCCCTGATTTCATTGAAATCGTAAAACTTTTTACCCTTGAAGTGATCGAATTCACCGAAATCTATGCCAAAACCATACAAATAATCAATTTATTCAAACAATTATACAATCAATCAATTCATACCTTTAGTGTTGGTTTTGTCGGAAATTAGTTGTAGAACGAGTGGTCTTCGGGTGACAATACCTGAGCCTCGGGGCAGGAAATCGCGGCCAACAATGCTCTCCAAAACGCTGGACTTTCCCGACGACTGTCCGCCGACGACCACTATTTGCGGCAAATCTAAAGCGACGGTTCCCTTGAGTTTGTCCTGTAATTCATTCACTATTTGTATCAAATTAGCGGCAAATCGAGGCGTTTTCGGGACACCGGATGTCGTGACTCTCAGATCACCGGAACTGTTCCCGAGTCTGTAGTTATCGTTTGTGAAGATATTGGCCGTACTGTTAGCTCTGGTCAGTCGAGTCCACAACCTGTGAATATTGTTGCGGTTGTGGACAATAGTGGCCAACAATGCGATACCGATTGTCCACAAGAAAAGTGTGTAAAACAGTGTTTCAATGAATGTCCAAATCATTGTTAAAACTTGGCCTCAATTGCTAAACACGTGAAGCGTTTGAGTGAAACAAAGGGTTTGCAAATTGCAATCCTATTTTGTGTTGAAGGCTTGCATACAATGCACTGATTTTGCATGCATTACAAGGGCTAACATATACCGTATATTTGTGTATTACATACAGTGTACTGTATTTATGGCAATAATCTATAAATCTATAACTAATTGTTATTATTGTTAACAATATTAAAACAAAACTTAAGACTTATTGATTCAAAAGTAAAATTGTCGGAGAGATTGATAGATAAGACAGCACTGGTATAAGGCTAGAGTCAATGTTAATGAGTCACTAAATCAACTTTTGTTGGTACTGTAACATGCAAATATTGCAAACATTAAACACATAAAAGTCAATATTTTAATACAGTATTATAGAGCAGTTTAATTGTAAACAAAATGGTTAATTTAAATTCTTAAAAAATAACTGAAATTGTTATAAGCTATTGTTGGATTGAAATCCAATATTACAATTCCTGTAAAATTATCATGTAAATTACAGATCGGCACTCGTTTTTAGCATATCACAGATACAGATTCACAGTGTGCCATAAATAGGTGGCGCAACGGTAGGTAGAAAATTTAGGTTTGTCAGTTTGACCAAGAAACACCACGTGAAGGTTAACCTAATAGTTTCTCACCCATTTTTATAATGGTTGGCTTTCGGTCTATCCACAAAAGTCATTTAAAATAAAGAAATTTAATTATTAAATAC